CGGTTCTCTTCCGGTTCCCTTACTCGTTTGTTTGTTTTAAATGCTACTTCCATCATCTCATTACAGCAACTGACACTCAAATATAAGTGTAATTTTATAATTGGAGTTAATCATATCACTATATCAGGAGTGGAATTTAGAAGCCTATTTCAGCCTCCAGTTGGCTTTGAGATTTCTTTCAACAGATAACTGACTGGTGTACTTTTCTGGCTTCTGAAGACTTCCTTGAACTGTTTCTCTTCCACCCCCTAAAAGCACCCAAGCCTGCTCTGGACCCCATCCTGGCCCACAGTGACCTCTCAAAGGATAGATGTTGAATTAAATAACAAATCTGCCAGCAAAAAAGTCACAGCATTAGCCCTCTTTTTCTTTTTTTTTCTTTTTTTATTTGGGCATAAATTATTTAATTAGTTCACTATTGATGAACATTTAGGTGGTTTCCAAATTTTGATATTTTAGGCAACACTTGTAAAAAAATTTCTTTATTGATTAAGGTATCACACATTTGTCCTCATCCCTCCCATTCCCATCCCCTGTTGTCTGTGACCACTGGTTAGGCTTATTATGTGCATACATACAAGTCCTTTGGTTGATCTCTCCCCCTTACCCCCACCCTCCACTACCTTCCCTCTCAAGTTTGACAGTCTGATCAATGCTTCCCTGTCTCCAGGTCTGTTTTTGTTCATCATTTTATGTTGTTCATTATTTCCCTTAGATGAGTGAGACATATCGGCAAGAGAAAGAACACTCAGCACTTCTGTAAGGTATTCTGAGTAGAGTGAAGTAGTATTTCCTGATTTTCCTGATTTTATCATTCTGTTTGTCCTTCAGGCTCATTTGGCTTCTCTGAGCTCAGCGTGGTGCCAATCACATCCCTGAGATTTGAAGGTGATCCAGAAGGTTCACAGCTTCTACTTTTTAAAAAAAGTTCTTATCTCCTCATTCTCTGCCCACTGCTTACTACCTTTTCTCATTTAAGTTTCCCCCCTTAGGTTTAAAATATGCATAGGAATACTTTTATTTACTTTACTTGTTTCTTAGAGACATTTACACTTGAATAGTAAGCCAATATCTTCCAGCTTTATCAATTATACCTCAATAAAGCTGAAAAAAATAACAAGGGAACAGACTAAGAGGGTGTGAGGACAAAAGCGTGACTTCTAGTGTTTGTTTAAGAATTATCCCTCCTGAGGGTTTGGTCCCTTAAACTCAGTAGTAGGGATCACTGTTGCTGGCAAGACAAGCAATGGCCTTCTTTCTAATTTCTAAGGTCGTTTTTGAAAGGCTCCTCTTCTCATGATGAAGACACTTTGCTTCTATGTCTTGAAATTCAGCTTGCTCTGAATATCTGATTACCAGTATGTCCTCGGGATGCAGGGCCTGCTGAAGGAGAGAAAACAGGTAGTTTTCAGTGAGCCTGGGAAGAAACAGAATCCAGAGCCAAGCAGGCCTCTTTCTTCCCACGCTCAGTGCCTTCGTGTCCTGGGCACAGAGAAGAGACGGGCTGGGGTACCGGCTCCTTCCGGCACATGTGCACAGCTCGCTGGGAGAGGAGGTCTGTGCAGAAGGCCATGAGGAAATCACATGCTCAGAGGAGGCAGAGATGGTATAGTCCTCCTAGGCAGACCGTGCGTGGAAAGCATGGCTTTAAGAAGGCGGCTTGCATGGGGTAGCCAGGCATGGGTAACCTAATGAGCATAAATGCCAAGGCTTACGGTATAGAGAAATGCCAGCCTTGTTTTTGGTTTTTTAAGAAGTCTAATGATATTTTAGTAATAGTACTGCCTGATGATGACGATGGCTCTCTCAGTGAGTAATGTTACCGAACTGCACTTCTAAGAAGGGGCCAGAGTTGAGGTTGGCTGCTGAGACTCACCTTAACTGCGCCAGGGCTTTACCTCACCCGCTGTCAGTAAATGGCACAGTTGGGGACAACCTGGTTGGGGACAGAGCATCCTGGTACTCTGTCTCCTCTGGCACCCACCTTCCTAAGCCTTTTTCGGATCCGGTGCACTTCAGTTTGCAAAGCCGAGAGGTCATTTTTTAAAAGTTGTCTCTTTTGAGAAACATGGTGATGGGACCCTATGATGTGTAAGTGGGAAACATAGAACTCAAAGAGGAAACAGATCGATTAGGGATAAGTCGAGGCTTAAGAACAAGCAAACAGCAATAAAATGAACATTCTCTTTCAGGTCCCGGAACAGCGTGGGCCTGTCACAGGGAGTCACAGAGTAACCGAGGGAAGTACCCGGGGGCGGAAGCAGGGTGTGCAGGTTAAAGCGAGCTCGAAGGCCCCTCGGCTCCCAGGTTCTCAAGCACCTGTCTGTCTGTCCTCTCACTTTGGAACAACTGCCTGGGGCCGGATAAGCCGGGCTGTGTCTGTTTTCCAGAGGCTTCTCTTGCAGCAGTGGCCGGTGGAAGAGGACTTTGGGGCCTTTCTGCTAGTTGATGTCTGGGAGCTCCCATCCGCCGCCTGGCATTTTGCCGTCCTGGCAGCTCTTCTTGACCTCGCTCATCAGTTCCACTTGCAGGACCTCAACAGCACCCGCCAGCTTGCTCCTCCCGCCTTGCTCCCCTGACCCTGAGGCAGTCCCGGCTCCGGCTCTCACTCCTCCTCAGTCTCCCCTCCTGAGTTGGCCCAGGCCTGACAGAGTTGATGGAGAAGTGCTTGTGTCCTGTGAGCTGGGTGACCCTGGCTGAGTTCTTTGGGGCTCACTGTCCTTATGTACAATGGGGGTGATGGTACCCCGCTGTTAGGAGAACTAAGACAAAATGTAGGGCGGGTCTCAGCCTTCAGCCTGGTACCCAGTGAGTGCTCAGAAAGTACTGCTGATTGTTATACATTAACATTATGATTGCTCTTGAGAACAACAATGTATGGTTTTGAGTGTTGATTGGGCATGGAGTTCTATTTCAAGCCGAATAGACGAGAGTTGGACCTTGTAAGAGGAAGCTGTAGAGAAGCTGGGGTCCCCTGTTAAGAGAGGTTAATTCAGTGGCCTGGATGAAGTAACATTTCAAGCCGGATAATTATCATAATACAGAGTTCATTCGTTCATGGTGACAAGTCAAGAGACATCAACTCAAAATCAGTGAAGAGAAAATTACTCAAAAGATGGCAATATTAGCTGTCAGTTTTTCCAATGGCACGTGAGGAAAGTAAACCACATTATGATGTTACCTAAAAGGGGATCCAGGCTTCTCTGCTTCAGTGTGCTTTTCCGAGAGAGAAGCAGATGTTAAAAAGACTAGAGGTACCTCTCACCTCTGAGCTCTCACTACTTGCCTTCCAAAACTCGGGCCCCAGCTTAATTTGGATAAAGCAAAGTCTCTCACAAAGCTAACGTACTTTCTGAATTCTCACCATCTATACTCAGGAACTGAATATAACTGGATAGTGGGGATACTTGTAACAGATTTCCCTAACTTGAACTTGATTCATCAAAAGAAAGCAGTTCATCTATATGTTAATTTTTTTAGCCTGTGTAAGAAGAGAGGGGTTTTAGAATGTGTTCCAGAATAAAAACTACCGTGTCAATATTTGCCTCAGACAGGATTCCCCGTTGCAAGCAGCAGAAGCTGGCCGTGCTGGTTTGAAAGCCTGTTAACGGGGTATTGGCTGGCTTGCGGAGGAGTTGTAGAAGGCTAGGAAACCAGTTCCCAGGAGAGCTAGACAACTGGCATGTCACACAGATCTGGTCTGATGAGGCTGTAGTCTGGCCCACTGTCCCTTCTGTGGTGAACTGTCATGGAGCCTCATGCCACAGTCAGCAGTGTGAGGAGTGCCGCCTCCTTCGACGACTGCCTGCTAGCCAGCACAGAGGGAGGAGAGGAGGGCGTGCACAGTCACCTCCGCTCCCGTCTGATGGGTGCGACTGAAGAACCAGCCCTAGTTAGAAAGAATCCTGGGCAGCCAGTTCTGGCATCGCCCCGGGAGACGTGGGGAGACCTGGGACGCGTAACGCTGGGAGTCCTCCCGGGGAGGAAGGCGGTTCCGCAGGCCGGGCAGCTCCGGGCAGGCCGGGCCATTAGAACGGTGTTCAGCGTTTTCGAGTTACAGCCCTTCCGTTGGTCATAAACCACTCTAGGGAAACAGCTTGCTTGCCTTCTGCTTTTTTTTTTTTTTTTAAATGAAATAAAAGAGAAGAGAAGTTATTGTGTATCACTTATAGTTTCATCTTGTGAAACTTTTCATTGAACATGATCTGCATCGTGTATGGAAACTGAGTTGCCGGGTAAAAGCTATGGTTACCACAGTTCATGATCTTCAAAGCCTGCACCCTCCAGTGCTCAAGAGTTTATTTTCAGTTCCACTACCCATCTCACTTCTTTGCAAAGCATAGTATTTGTCTTTTCTCTTTTCATTTTCAGAGTAAGTCATGCCCCTCCACCCTGACACACACACACACACACACACACACACACACACACACTCACACTTACACACTATCAAGGCCTTTTTTCCCTGGAGCAGTGGTCGGCAAACTCATTAGTCAACAGAGCCAAATATCAATAGTACAATGATTGAAATTTCTTTTAAGAGCCACATTTTTAAAACTTAAACTCCTAACGCCACTTCTTCAAAATAGCCTCGCCCAGGCCGTGGTATTTTGTGAAAGAGCCACACTCAAGTGGCCAAAGAGCCGCATGTGGCTCGCGAGCCGCAGTTTGCCGACCACAGCCCTGGAGCTTCTGCGGAGCAGGGAGCTTTTACCTGTGGAGGTACACTCTGTATGACTTACACTGACAGGTAACCTACTTACTGTTATAACGTTGTTTCCCTGGGAAATGATGACCTGAGTTCTAAAGAGAAAATTAACTCAGGAGACTTGGGGCCTGTTGTGTGTATGGCAATAGTGGTTACAATGTGGACAAAACACTTCAACCCAGACTTGGACCTCAAAGTGTCTATAAAAAAAATTTAAATAAAGGGCCTTTCACTGTCTTTAGTCTTGTCTCTGAAATGAGTTGTTTCTAACCCTGTTATGTTACCTCTGCAGGTCCGTTTACTCGGCCTCACCCAGCCTTATGGAGGATGGTTTTTGGTGAGTTACCCATTGGGTTTTAAAATATATGCTACTTAAAAAAGTTTTTTTCCCCCTGTATAATATGGCAGTTTTGCTTATCACTCTCTAGGGAAAAAAAAACACACAATTGTACAGCTTTTTACTTCTTTGTGTTCCTAATATAAATTTTTTTATTAAAATCTTTGCCACAAAATGAAGTACTGGAGACAACCAATACCCTTGTACACATGAACCGTTTTAGCCCCACTCGCCCCCTTCTTATGCTGTTGCCTCTGCAGTACAAAGGACCCGACGCAGGGATTGTGGCTTGTTTTCCTTTAACCAGTTAACTACCACACGTCCAAAACGGAAACCATCCCCACCCGCTGCAATATTTTGAATTTAATTTAAAAAATCAATTTGCAGTGAATTTTATAAAAATAAATATATTACTCACAATCCGGGTGTTCTTGAATATTTTCAGCTGAAAATTCTGACAAAAAAAAATGATTTCAAAGTTGGTTAGGGCTGCCACTCAGGGAAAACATTCTTTTATAGACGCATATGGCGTGTGGGGAAGGGCCACCGCTTGCATCTACAGACGCTTATGGTGGACAACGGGTTAAGCATCTTCCTGTTTCTCTTCGCTCGTGCAAGCTCAAGTGCATCCCCTGAGCACATTGGTCTCATCGGCATGGAGGAGGCCTGAGAAGCCAACGACCTCAGGGTTATGAACGGGAAAGAGCTTGGGAAAGGGAGAAATCTTTAGACAAAGGGCCCTGGTTTGAACTACAGTTTAGCGATGGGCATTTGATATAAATACTGGATGTCTTATTTTTATTTGATTTCTAGTCCAAATAGTCAAATCACCTGAATGGATTTAATACAGATCTTCAGAACTGTAGACATTGGCTTCATCTTGCCTAAATAAGACATCAAATAAATAACTTCAGAAAAATGTAACCTTCTGCAAAAGGACCTTCAAGACGGACCTTTCGCTCAAGGTTGCCTGTTTTTCTTTCAGTGTTCAGGGATCAAAGGGAAATCCCTTTGAATTTAATGGTCCGTCTAGACCTTGGTCCAGTGCCCTGTGGGCAGGCGCTGCTCTGCCCCGAGGCTGGGCTGGGCAGACAGCCCAGGAGCCGCCCTGCCAGTCAGGAGGGCCTGCAGGGAGAGGACAACGGCAGCAAACACACCGTTCGGCCACTCATTTCATCCCAAAAGTCAGATGTGGCTTAAGTGTTAGGACTGTAGTGAAGCCACGTGAGGTGACAGTGACCGGGTGGCTGCTTTTGCCTGTGCGTGAGGCAGGCTGAAGGCAGGTGCTTAATCCAAACCCTGCATGCGGAGGAGGATCTGAGCGCGCCAGGGCGGGGGTGGGAGCCAGACAGAGAACGAGACCCAGTGGTCCGCAGCGAGGAGACGTTCGGCGTGTCCCCGGCGGGGTGGCTGGGGCGGAGCAGGCCTGGGGACGCCGTGAGCGGTCGGAGTCAGGCACAGACGGAAACCTGCACGGCCTGTAGGCCGCTCAGGGTTGTGGGTGTGAAGGGCAGTCGGAGATCATGGGAGGATTTTTTGCAACGAAGTGAGATGGTTCATTTATGTTTTTAAAAAGACAGTCCTGGTTGCGCCATACTCTCACCTCATGGACTTCATATTTCTGCGTGAAGTGAAAAGTTATTTTCAGCTAGTTGGCTACACCCGAGCTTTTCCTGTTTCAGATGGCCCACTACAGGGAATGAGCAGTTTTGTTTCTTCCCTGCGGTCTTTTTGGGATCTTGGAGCCCTTTGCTGATCCGATGAGAACTGTAGATCCTTTCCTCTCTTAGCAGACACACAAACACACACGCACGCATGCATGCTTGTTCCACACACACAGTTCTGCATGTTTCTTCATGGACCTTGAAGCCCAGCCATGAACTGCAATGTTTTCTTTCTATCTTGCAATAATTATTTTGAGAGAATTATAATAAACAGTTACGGGGTGAGGGCGGGGGGGCATTTGAGTTGAAAATTGGTATGAAAATAGCTGGTGCACAAGTGCAAACCCCAGAAGGTCCTCACACCCATGTGCCTACATCCTGGGATCACAACCTGGTGGGAATGCTCCTCTACATACACCCGCCCCCATACACCCGCCCAGGCCTGGGACTGGCAGCTCCCTGCTCGAAGGCCTGGCGCTGTAGCATTCCAGCCCGGTGTCCTCTCCTCTGGAGCGGCTCCCTGCAGATTAGTGCTGAGCCAGGTTTGGACGGGGTGCTGTGGTCCAAGGTCATTTGTATGTGTCCTAGATGGCCTATCTTAACACATACACTCTAGCAGGTTCCGCATAAACAGAAGTGACAGAGCCCCGGTGGTTGGTTTTCAGGGCTTTCTGAGGGGTATTTGCAGGCTTTTGCCTTCTTAGAGTAGATTCACTTTGTTCTTCAGTGATGAGGAAACCAGTCATGATTGGGTGTGACAGGAAGGTAATGCCTGCAGGGGCTCATGCGGGCCACCTCCCGCACTCCAGACCTGTCACTGCTGAACTGGCCCCCAACTCTCTAGCTGGCCTCACCCACCCGCACCCCCTCTCCACACAGTGGCCAGAGTCAGCCTCGTAAAATGTTACCTGGATCATCTTATTTCCCCACTGAAACCCCGTCAAGCGCTCCTTGTCTCACCTTTGCCATGGCCCCAGCCTGACTCACTTCAGGGCCACCGCACTCCTTCCCCTTGCTGCCGGCACTCCAGCCACGTGCAGCTTCCAGACACTTCTCTGCCCAGGGACCACTGCAGCCTTTCTGGGCCTGAGAGCTGCGCTCACCCCTCCGCTCCCAGCCCACCCCTCTGTCTGCCAGTCTGGGCTTCAGCATACTTTTCTCAGCAAGTGTTGCTGACCCTCGCTCTGAACCAGGACCGTGCATGAGCCTCTCACAGGAAGCGCCAGATGGTGCTGGGGGTCTGGCACAGCGTCGGTGTCGGCTTGGCCGTAAGGGACTCGGGGGTAATGTGGGTCGTGCATCCGCCACCCAGGTCTGTCCTCAGTGTGACACCGCTTCTTTCCCTCAGGCCTCAGTGTGCTCTACTTCCTCTTCCTGGTCTTCCTCCTCTTCCTGAACTTCGAGCAGGTGAAGTCCATCATGTACTGGCTAGATCCAAATCTCCGCTACGCCACGAGGGAAGCGGACATCATGGTATGTACTGGTCAGTGGCTCCGGGGACTGCTGGGCCCCTGGGTGTGGAGGGATCCCATGCACATTCCAGCGGCTCCTGCTCCCTGTCCCCTGAGTAGAGAGTTAAGCACAGTCTCTGGCAGGTTGGGGAGGGGCGGGGCTTCCCTGAGGGAGAGTCAGGGAAGCCAAGTCCCCTGGGAGCCCGGGGTGGCAGGGAGCCAGTGAACGTGATCATCAGGCGGCCTTGGGTGTGTCTGCCTCCGGCACTCGTTAGCTGCAGGACTTTGGGTAGCGCCCTATTTGGGGATTGACTGCGAACTAAAGAAGTAACATCATCCAGGAGGCCAGCAGGGCGCCTGGCACACACAGGTCCTCGGTGGTCCATCACCTCCAGCCTCCGCCACGACCCTTTCCACCTGCTGCCACGAGGGGCCGCTTGTCATGATTCAGGCCGTTGCGTTCAATAGCTTCACCAAATCACAAACGTAACTTTCTTCTTGGCTGAGGCTGCCCTGTGCTCTGGTGTCAGTTTTATAGTGTAATGCGTTCGCTCCACACTCCCTCAGTGCCTAGTACTTGGCACAGTTTGAAGAAAGCTGGTGGCTCAGAAAGGGAGGTCAGGTCAGCATTTGGGTCTGTCTCTGGTCCAAATGCTGACCTCCGTTTCTGAAACAGTAGGAAGGGACTTAGCAAAGGGTCCGAGAAGTCATCCTTCTACTGCAGTTGAGATTGGTCAGACCCTTCGGAATGGTGTTTCCCGACTGTATCTTTAACGCTTATAAATAACATAAAGGCAGGAATAGGAATCCAGAAATGACTTCGGAGTCTCGGGAGGATAGTGTGTGGGGGTTCGGACTCTAAGGAAGAGGATGGAGCAGGGTGCCTCACAGCTTCTAATGATGATTGTGACGGTTGGGGTGAGGGTGATAGCAGGGGCTGATTGGGGCTGTCTACTCTGCCAGGCACGGGGCTTGGCGCTTTGTATTGAATCTATACAAGCCTCACGCATGCATGGCAGACAGTCGTATCCCCATCTTTTCAAGGAGAAATAGAAGCTTAAAATAGTTAAATATTTTGCTCAGAGCACAAATTAGCAAGATCCCTTTGGCTCTAAAACCTGTACTTTCCTTTAGGACTAGTCTTCAGTTATACAGTTATAATAATAATAATAATAATTAGTGTTCTCTCTCATGCTCACTGAAATCTGTGAAATCTTAGCGATTAGAAGAAAGATGCCTCAGATATATTTCCCCCACAATTTTCTTGGTCTTAAAATTTTTTTATTTATTTTTTATTGATTTCAGAGAGGAATGGAGAGGGAGAGATAGAAACATCAATAATGAGAGAGAATTATTGATCAGCTGCCTCCTGCACACCTTCTACTGGGGATCAAGCCTACAACCCAGGAATGTACCCTTGACTGGAATTGAACCCAGGACCCTTCAGTCTGCAGGCTGACACTCTATCCACTGAGCCAAACCGGCTAGGGCTTTATTTATGTTTTGTTACCTTAACACAGTTACCCTGTGGTCAGGTGACATAGCATATGTGATACCCCTTCTTGAGATGTGTAAGCCTTTGTAAAATTATTTTGCTCCTCTTTTTTACCCAGCTTTTGCAGTTCAGAACAAAGCAGTTTAATATATAAACTCTAATTAATGCTTATCCATATTTCTTTAAGAACCTAAAAATTAAAACATTTTTGTTGGGCAGGACATATATTACTTATTAAGGTCACCTCAGTTCCTATTTAACATCAGAATCCTGGAAGCCAGCTGATTTCTAGAGCATCAGTAATTATTCCCCTTTTTACTTTAAACAGGAGTACGCCGTGAACTGCCATGTCATCACCTGGGAGAGGATTATCAGCCATTTCGATATATTTGCATTTGGGCATTTCTGGGGCTGGGCCATGAAGGCCTTACTGATCCGCAGTTATGGCCTCTGCTGGACCATCAGCATCACCTGGGAGCTAACCGAGGTAAGAAGGGGGCAGGCCGTCACCTGGACCCTGCAGTGCGGATAGTTTGTATGGAGGAAGAAGCTGTCCGTCAGTTCACAGTCAAGCATCCATTCTCCAGTGTCGGGAACAGAACTGTATTGAAAACACCCCCGTAGGAATATTTCACAGCTTTGTGAGAAAAAGATAGCTTCTTGCTAATTTAAACTGTGCCTCTGTGTCACAGATCTTAAAGAACATCATCCCCATTCGCCCAGGTTGCAGGTTCGATCACTGGTCAGGGCGCATACAAGAAGCAACCAATGAATCCTTCATAATAAGTGGATAAATAAGTGGAACAAGTCAATGTTTCTCTCCCTTTCTCTCTAAAATCTATGAATAAATAAAAAAATTTTAAAACACAGAAAATGAAATAAAGCTCAAGAATGAAATTGAAATCCCAAGTGAGACAAAGAAAGGTTAGTGAGATCTGTTTAGAAGTAAATAGGTAGTTTACCCAGTAATGAGATTCCAGTTCGAAATAAATAGGATTGTGGTGTTTAGGAATTACTAGGGCATTGATGGTGCTTTGCAGCTGAAGAATGAATTTCTGATACAGCGTTACATCTCAGTAATCACACGTATTGTCTCATTTAATGAATGGAGAGAGATATATTCTTGAAAAACCATTAGCAAAATGAAATTTTGGGAACTAACTCGTTAAATGTTTAGTTATTATATTGCTCTTATTCATTCACAAGAGCACATTTTGGCCCTGTGCACAGCATGCTTCTCCAAGCCAGTCGTTATCCGGATGCTAACCTGGAGGAGCCCAGTTCTCCAGGGAACCTCCTCGCCACTCCCCCAGCTGCTCCCCCAGCCGCTTGGTTTCAGCAGCTGATGCTCCACCTTGTGGCTCGGGAATGTGTCTCAGTGACCCCTGGGTCAGAGCGCAGGCCCCAGCTGTCACATGCCAGAGCTGCTTCATACCTCTCGGCAGCAGGCACGGTAAGAAGGCAAGCACCTCACACACGTGCCTTTGTAATGTTTTAGTCTATGAAATGCTTTCATGAGCAGCTTTATTTTGTAGTATTTATTACATTACTCCAGAGTAATTCTCCTCTCTTCTATTACTTGGCAATTATATTACTTTGTAATTATGGGGTTGCCTCCTCAGAGAACCCCAGCAGTTTCTCTGTAATTTCAGACTTTAAAACGGGCCATCCCCTGGCAAGGCACTCTGTCCCGGACTCAGCTGTGCTGCCCTGGTTTTGAACAACACTGTGCAGCAGACTTCTGTTCCACCCTGGGCATTCCTGTTCCCCTTTCTGAAATGCCTCATCTCTGTCTCCACAAGCCAGTCGTTTCTGGCCTTAATGATCCCACTTCAGCATACCTTCCTTGCAATTGCCACTCTCAGGATGGCTCTCTCTCTTGTCCCCACTGTGCTCCTTTTATGTCACCATGGTAACACTTGCCACAGCCTACACTATTTTGTGTTCTAGATGAACATCTGACTCTGCCCTTGAGGTCAAGCACCTTGATTTCACTTTGTCTTGCCACCTGCTCATCATCGCTGTTTCATAAAAGATGATCATTTTTGGGAATCAGTGAGTGAGTGTGAGAATTCCCGTTAAGCTATTAATTCCATATATCATCTCATCAAGGTCTCGCTTTTTTACTTTATGTTTACAGCTTCCTCCCTGTTTTACCCAAATAAACAGGGAGTGGAATATCTCTAAAATGCACAGCTTCAGTTACCACGCTGCTAATCCTGAGCGTTATGTTATGCCAGTGCGTCGTTGGCAGGTCCGAGAACGTCTCTCCTTTACCCTCCTGAGTCCTTGTCCTGTTGCCCTTAGCCAGCGCAGCTTATCAGTGGCATTTTGTAAAGAGAGACCATCATTTCTTTAAGGCCTCTCTCAGAGGATGAGCTGTCTGCATCAGTACTGTCTGCAAACCACTCGAAATATAAAACCAAGAACCAGGTTACAAACCCTAAAAACTGATATATCAACAACTTTTCCTAAAACATGTATTATTATTATTATTATTATTATTTTAAATATATTTTATTAATTTTTTTACAGAGAGGAAAGGAGAAAGAGAGTCAGAAACATCGATGAGAGAGAAACATCGATCAGCTGCCTCTTGCACACCCCCCACTGGGGATGTGCCCGCAACCAAGGTACATTTCCTTGACCAGAATCGAACCTGGGACCTTTCAGTCTGCAGGCTGATGCTCTGTCCACTGAGCCACACCGGTTTTGGCTAAAACATGTCTTATTAAAAGGAAATTTGCTCGGCTGATTTCATAATTGTGTATCAACTTATGAACTAAGAGGTCACAGTTGGATTCCTCGTCAGGGCACACACCTGGATTTTGGGCTCAATCCCCAGTAGGGAGTGTGCAGGAGGCAGTTAATTATTGATTCTCTGTCATCATTATTTCTATCTCTCCCTTCCTCTATGAAATAAATTAAACATATTTTTTTTAAAAAAGGAAACTTATCTTTATGTGTGGTACTCCATTTTTTATCTTTATGTTACCACCATCATCTGTTGTGTTCTCAGCTTTTCTTCATGCACCTGCTGCCCAATTTCGCTGAGTGCTGGTGGGACCAGGTGGTCCTGGACATCCTGCTGTGCAACGGCGGCGGCATCTGGCTGGGCATGGTCGTCTGCCGCTTCTTAGAGATGAGGACCTACCACTGGGCCAGCTTCAGGTGAGCCGCCCCTCTGGACAGCATCACAGCTTTCGCAGAGGACCGGAACTGCTGTCGTAGGTGCAGCCTGTGATATGGTCTTTGATGACAATAAATAAATTATACATTAGTAATTGAAACCCATAAATGATTAGAAACCTAATTTCAGGCATTCATCCAGAAAGTACTAAGTCATTTATGATTTTCTCAAAACTCCTCCTTTGTACCTGTGTGCCTCAGCCTGCAGTCAGGCTGCCATCGCTGGATTAATTAGTCCCCTCTCTCCAGGGCAACCTTTCAAAGCCTCCTCACACCACTGCTGGACTGATTTTTTGAAGAATGTCCTATTCCCCATATCATTCCCCTATGACAGCTTCCCGTGGTCTTTAGGACAAAGTGTGCTTCCGTGGACTCGGCAGGGTACCTTTCTCCACACCCTCCAGGGTACGGAGCGCCCTGAGCCCATGTATACACCTGGGCTCGGCCTGGGTCTGCCACGTATACACCCCCGTCGGCCTGGGTCTGCCATGTATACATCCTGCCGGCCTGGGTTTGACCTGTGTCCCCATGGGCCTTTACTCTCCTGACCTGGCTCACTTGTTACGTCTGCAGGTAGTTGTCTCAGACTGTCTAGTTTAAGCTGTGCGTCCCTCCTCTGCCCTCGTGGAGGACAGCGCTTCTCTGAACCTGCTCCTCAGTTTGACTGGCAGGAACCATGCCATTGATAAGGAGGGAAAGCACGCGGTATTTATAATGAAAACAGTCCTTTTTAGTGTGTCCAAAACTTCATTGATTTATATAACAAAATATGAGCATTTTCCAACAGTTAATTAAAAAAATTTTTTTCAAAAGGTTTTTTTTTCATATCCCAACATATGGATAAACCATAAGGTATTTAAACAATTCCCTTTTATGAGCATTTAGTTATTTCAGACTTTTCACTTTTATAAAAAAGTGGACATTTTTTTAATATGTGCCTTTGTGTGCATATCTGATTTTTTTAATATAAATTCTTACAAGAAGAATATACCAATTTATGTTCTCACCTGTATACACCAATGAATATGTGTTCATTTCACTATTGCTTTGAATTTTATTTTTAAGCTTTGTCAATTTTATTATACATAAAATTGTGTGACAATTATACATAAATTTCTAGTGTATTTCTATTGGATTTTTCTCTTTTATTAGCGATTTTTCTGGATTAAGGATTTTGACATTTGTCATAAATGTGACTTTATTTTCCATTTTGTCATCCTCTTTTAGTTTTTTTGTGGAAGTTTTGTCATTTAACTTTAAAAGCTTTAAATCTTTTTGTTTAGGTTCATGTTAACCCATATTTTCTTCTAATTCTTTAGTGGTTTAGTCTTTTTATTATAAGAAATTTTAGAATTCTTTCTTTAATCAGTGACTAGAAAGAATGCTTGTTAATATATTTAAGGCACCACATATATAATGTAACAAACTGTAGCTGTGCTGGATACTGCTCCAAGCAAGCTCTATAATTGAGCTTTCTATCAACTTAGGGTAGACACTACATTTTTCTCATATTAGGGATGACGATACAAAGATTTAGGTTTAGCAATTGCTGGAGGACATTTAACCATCGAACTGAATTTTAACTAGAGTCTGAATTTGTGTCAGATTGTCTGACTCCTTAAGCCCTGACATAACGCTTCCCTATGTTCACATATTTATACTTCAAATTCAACTTGAGAATCATTTTGTCGGGTCAACAAACTAATCAACAGAAAATCCCACTGGTGCTTTTTAAAAAGTTCTATGGTTCTTTTTTAAAACTCCTTTTTTAAAATAGCACCAAAAGTTCTATTGGTGCTATTTTAAAAAAATCTATAGTCATTTTTGTATAAATGGCTATAGATTCACTTAAGTTGAATTAACAACTTCTTTACTATATGAAGTATTCCAAATCCTAATTAGGCCAAAGTTCTCTATTTATTCCACACTATCCCTGCATCTTTTGATGAAGTTTGGCCATTTTTTAAAAATACAGGACCTTCATAGTTCCTGTTTATTTTGGAGAGTTTCTGTTTTGCCTACATGCTTGTTGATGGGTAGGCGAGTGAATGAGGAGCAAACCTGGTTTCCTTCCACTTCCCCTGCCTCCCTCCAAAGGAGTAAAGGCCTGACTTGTTTGCACTCGAGCCTTCAGCACTCAGCACGGTGAGACTTACAGATCCCTGATGTATATACGTTGACACTGTTCACTGCTGTGGACGGGTTTTGGCTCTCCTGCACTAGCGAGTCAGGGCTGGTGTGCACACCCGCTCTCAGGCCTGCAGAGTGCGCCTGCGTCCTCTAGTTGTTCTCTCTGAGCCCACATCTGAAATATGTGACTGTTTCTGCCATGGACATATGACATTTTTAATTTAGTCAATTCTGGGATCAAAAATAAGGTTGCCCTTGCCGGTTTGGCTTAGTGGATAGAGTGTTGGCCTGTAGACTGCAAGATTCCAGGTTCGATTCCGGTCAAGGGCATGTGCCTTGGTTGCGGGCACATCCCCAGTGGGGGATGTGTAGGAGGCAGCTGATCTATGTTTCTCTCGCATCAATGTTTCTAGCTCTCTATCTCTCTCTCCCTTCCTCTTTGTAAAAAAACAATAAAATATATATGTATATATTTTAAATAAGGTTAAAATTCGCCGCTCACTTACCTGAGGGAGAAACAGGGTGAAGTGAAGACGTGGAGAGAATATGGAGCATGCTCTCTTACTAAGACGCCTCGGGCTGGGAGACAAACAGCGGTGCTAGTTGGATCCTTGCTGGCACCCTTCTCCTCCCTGCCTGGGTCCAGAGGTTGGTCTCCAGAGCCTCTCAGCTCCTTTCGTTGGCATTCACCAAGCAAGGCCCCTCCTGGCTCTGCGGGACTGGGCTCTGCGGTGCCCGTCATCGCGGACTTTCCCGGGGCGTGACCTGTGCAGAGGGGCCCTTGGTGCAGAGCCAGCTCTCAGAGAAAGGCCTCTGCTGTGCGGGGCACTGGTTGTAAGCAGTCAACGCAGAGGCTTTTTTGTTGTTTGTTTTTTCTTGTTTTGGGATTTTTGTTCTTCCCCTTTCTTATCTCTTCGGATTCTCACAGGGACATCCACACCACCACTGGGAAAATCAAAAGAGCCGTGCTGCAGTTCACGCCTGCCAGCTGGACCTACGTTCGATGGTTCGACCCCAAGTCTTCATTTCAGAGGGTGGCTGGGATATACCTGTTCATGATCATCTGGCAGGTATGCTTTCAGATGCCCTCAGCCAGGGGAAAAATAAAACTATCCAAGAATTTAGAGGTGATGCTAGTTGACATTGCTTACCAGCTAGGTGCTTCCTCACGAAGGCATTTTAAAATATGAGTCTTTGAATGACAAATAAGGAATAAATTAAAATTTCACTAAAGAAGCTCATAGTAATCATCCATCACCCAAAGAGTTAGGTATTGGATTGCTTTTTAGAAAGATCATTTTTCAGGACCAAATTAACAAATGCAAGGCTTTTTTTTTTGTTTGTTTCAAATTCAATGTGTGATTTTTAAAATTGTGTCTAGGCTGTTGCCACTTGAGGTAATTTATTTTATTTGTTTAAATATGTTTTATTTTTGGAAGAGAGAAAGAGAGAGAGAGAGAGAGAGAGAGAGAGAGAGAGAGAGAGAGAGAGAGAAACATCAATGATGAGAGAGAATCATTGATCAGCTGCCTCGTATGCCTTCTACTGGGGATCAAACCCGCAATTGAGGCATGGGACCCGACCAGGAGTTGAACCAGGACTGTCCCAGCAGATCACACACATGACCCAAGGGACAACTGTGTGAACCAGGAAGCATGACAAGTAGCTGGTGCCCCCAGGTGCTTCTCCTCGCACCCCAGTACCTCCCTCTTGCCCCCTGCTGGCTGATGCCCATGTTGTACGAGCTATTACAAGTCTCAATAACAACCCTAGGAAGACCCCATGTGTTCTCTGAAAATGCTTTGAACATATCAGTTAGTTTTAGTTGTAGACTTCCCATAAGGCAGTGTTTCCCAAAGTGTGGTACGTGTACCCGCCAGGGTACGGGAAGAGTTTGGTGGGGATACGCATTCCCCCGTGCTTAGCTGCGCCTAATTCTACGTTCTCGTGAGTACGAGGGGTACTCAGCGTTACGAAAATTATAGAAGGGGTACACATATGTCAAAAGTTTGGGAAACACTGTCATAAGGGAATGAGTATATGATTATGACTTAGAATGAAGTATCAGGTTGACGGATGCCTCCTTCTTTTTCAGCTGACTGAGTTGAACACCTTCTTCTTGAAACATATCTTTGTGTTCCAAGCCGGTCATCCACTGAGTTGGTGTAGGATTCTCTTCATTGGTGGCATCACGGCGCCCACAGTGAGGTAATGCTGTATACGTCTCACTGTCACGTGAGCATGTTAACCTGCTTTTTATTCTCCTGTTTAGCATAAGGGAAGTCACATAAACTAGCAGAATCCTCATGAAACTATCATTGTAAAGAATTATATGTTCATAATATGAAGAAAATGTTTTGCTCAGACCTCAGTAACAGAAGTGAATAATCAAAATAACATTATTTTCAAACCCCTTATAATCTTTAGGGCTTATTAAAAAAAATGAGTAGCAGTGATGTTGAGGTTTCCTTTTTAATGAGATTATTGAAAAATACAAATGTTTTTATGGTAAATCTGAAATCACAGATGATGTTATTTTTCTTATTTACAGTTGACATTTAATATATATTTTTTATTGTATTTTTATTGATTTCAGAGAGGAAAGGAGAGGGAGAGAGAGACAGGAACATCAATGATTAGAGAGAATCTTGATCAGCTTCTTCGTGCATGCCCTACACTGGGGATTGAGCTCACAACCTGGGCATGTGCCCTGACTGGGACTCAAACTGTGACCTCCTGGTTCATAGGTTGACGCTCAACCACTAAGACACATTAGCTGGGCAAAAATCTGAATTCTTTATCACTTGAATTCTTCATCGGGGTCTTTGAGGTGAAGAGATGATAGTTCATGGATGAGCTTTAGGTATAAGTGAATCCCCTGAAGTTTGCCGCAAAATTCTGGGTTTTATATGCCTTTATAGATGGCTTTCATAAATCCTCAGAGTTTGTTATCTCAGACATGATGATGAACTCCTGGTTCAGGTGCAGCTTCTGAAGGGATGGGTTGAGCACTAGAATGTGGCCAGTCCACATCGAAATGTGCTATATAATGTAAAATACCCCGCACCATGGAGACCCAGTACAAACACAACATAGAGCACTTCTTTATAATGTTTTCAGTATGTTGGGTTAAATCACATAGATTATGAAAGTGAATTTCATCTTTCCTTTTTGCATTCTTATGTGGCTATTGGAAAATTTTTAATTGCGTTTGTGGCTTGTCTTGTATTTCTGTTGAGTAGATGCTATTCTAAGTCTTTCAGCTCTATATCATTGACCACCTACTTTTCTCTTTCAATCTTGTCAATAACATTCAAAATCGTTGGCATTTAGTGACTGCGAGGTCCCATTCTGGTTTCTGAGAGCCAGGAAATATCTATGTTTTTTGCCTGATTACCATTAGCCACCTTGGCCTGGATTGAGCCAGAGGAGACAATTAATGACTGCACAGGTGACTCTCAGAATCGCCTCCATAGCAGGGGACTGAGGCACCCACTGGGGTTACTTTGGCTCAAGGCTCTGGGAGCCTGTCCCTGGACCACGACCATCTTTGCCAATAACCTGGCCCTTTAAACCAGGCTCCCCTCCTTGCATCCCAGCCAAACTCCTAACTTCTCACAGGGACATTCCAACAGTCACCAGCTTCCCAGTTCCTGGAGTAGAACTAGATCAGGCAGCTGGAGTGTATGGAAAAGGGCAGGACATCTGTATATTCATCTGTCACAGTAACTTAATTCCACGTTGACTGGCTGGCTTACCGAATGCCCCCTTTGTCCTTCCAGACAGTACTACGCTTACCTCACCGACACGCAGTGCAAGCGCGTGGGGACTCAGTGCTGGGTGTTTGGGTAAGTACCTGCCGCTGGGGAGGTTTAAAAACGCGTTCGCCTCCACATCGCTTCTGCTATTTCTTGACCCTGTGTTGAATGCCTTTCAATGCAATTTTCCTAGGAAGGCTTGCTGATGTTTTTAGATGGCTTCCATTTGTGGAGTTTTTTTTTTTTTACCTTAGTTCTTTTTGTTCTCAGAAGGTAAAGTATAAAATACAGTGAATTAGATAATTACTTTGTAATTCTTTTAAATTAAGATAGATTGGAGAAACCAAGGTGGCGGCGTAGGTAAACAACTGGTCTGCTGCCTCGCACAACAATTTCAAAATTAAAACTAATGTACAGGATGTCTATCACCCAAAAACACGGGAAGGCTGGCTGGAAGAGAAAGGAGTGCAAGCGCTGAAAAGCAGAGGAGCCTCGGTACCGATGCATGCGAATCGGGCTGGTGGTGGGCGACTGGGGCACAGCCTTTTTTTTTTTTTCCCAATCCAAAAGGAAACAAGCTCCCGATCACTTTGAAATCCAGTTTCTGGGGTCACATGGGGGACCCAGACACCTATGGGGAGAAGCTGGTCTGTCGGCCATTGGGTCCGAAAGTGAGGGTGACTCTTGCAGAGGTGCGAGCAGCAATCATTGTTTACTGCGCTGGATCGCAGGGACATGGGACTTGGGAACACGGGAGGGCAGAGACCATCACTGTTAGCTACGCCCCAGCCAAGTGATGTCCTGAGACCCCGCCCCACCCTGAGGCCCCGCCCGCCCATTCTACAGACCTGCCCAAGCACCACACAGCTGCTTTTGCATATAAATGGCCTATATTGTGGCAGCTTAACGAAATAAACTGCAGCTCCAGCAACAAAACTGCCAAGTCCCAAGCAATCAGGAGAAAACTGTAGTTCTTATGGTAGCCCCTGCTGGGTGGCCTCAGACAGTAGCTGAACTGCTCCCCATTAAAGATCCGGAAACTAGTGTATCTAGTGGTCAGTGTGAGATGACACTAGATTTCAACTGCTCTCATAAGGGACACATTCAAGAGACAGACTCCCCTATCCCGGCCAAAACTCCGAGGACCCAGGCTCATACGGGTGGAGTCCGGACTGTAGAGAAAGGCACCTAGAGACTCAGAGTCTGGGAGACTAGGGGAGCCAGGACCGGCAGTGGGCAGGGTCTATAGTCGCACGCGAGTAAGTGCTCACAGAGAGGTCTGATGGCGGAGGTTGCCGCAGTTTCTCAAAAGCAGAAGGAATCAGAAGCTCCAGACTACAGAGACCCAACCCAATTCTGGGCAAGCCCCTGGGGCAGCCACACTTTTGCATGGGGAATCTGAGACAGGCGGAAACTCAGGGGAGCAGCGGAAGGCAGAGGTCGGAGCCTTTTACACAAGGGCAGTGCTGATGGGAAGCCAAGACTGTTAGCTCAACCCTGAGACTCTGCCCCATCTAAGTGAGCACAGAGGCTTTTGCAATTTTGCAAGTCTGATCCTATAAGACTGTCTCCAATACAGAAGGTATCCCGGAGTAGACACAGCTGATACATCCAGTGGGCCTGAAGGTCAATTCCTCCCAGGGATACCAACAACAATCAAGTCTTAACTACAACAAGGCTGTACACCCAGTCCACAAAGGAGAGCACCAACAGTGTCTACCTCAGGTAACTGGGGAGGCTGACCCACCGGGCCATATAGGACACCAAACACACAAAGTGATCCTACCAACTCTGGGAAGCAGCAAAAATGCCGAGTCAAGGAAATAGATCTCAAATGAAAGAGAGGGAGAAGAACAAAAGACTGGATATTGAGTTCAAAACCACAGTTATAAGGCTTTTCAAGAATTTCCTAGAAAAGGCCAATAAAATAACTGAGACCTTTGAGGATATGAAAAGGGATCAAGTATAAATAAAGCATACACTGACTGAAATAAAAAATATTATACAGAGTCCTAAAAACAGACTGGAAGATTGCAAGAATCAAGTCAAAGATTTGGAACACAAAGAGCCAGAGGACACTCCCCAACAGAAAGTTGAAGATAGTATAAGAAGCCTCTGGGACAACTTCAAAGGAACCAACATCAGAATTATGGGGGTCCCAGAAGAAGAGATAGAGCAAGATACTGAAAACCTATTGGAAGAAATAGTGACGGAAAACTTCCCCCACCTGGTGAATGAAATAGACTTACAAGGACAGGAAGTGCACAGAACCCAAAAAAAAGTAATCCAAAGAGGACCACACCAAGACACATCATAATTAAAATTCCAAGAGCAAAAGACAAAGAGAATCTTACAAGCAGCAAGAGAAAAGCAGTTAGTTAGCTATAAAGGAGCACCCATACAATTGTCAACTGATTTCTCAACAGAAACTGTGCAGGCTAGAAGGGAGTGGCAAGAAATATTCAAAGTAATGAATAGCGAGAATTACTCCCCCAACCCTGGCCAAAAGCCCTGGACCCGGGCTCAACCAAGATTACTATATCCAGCAAAGTTATCATTCAAAATTGAAGGGGAGATAAAGAGCTTCACAGATAAGAAAAAGCTAAAGGAGTTCATCACCACCAAACCAGTATTATATGACATGCTGAAAGGTATTCTTGGAGAAGAAGAAGGAGGAGGAGGAGGAGGAGAGGAAATAAAAATTATAATCAACAAATACATATAAATCAACAAGTTACTCTAAAAATCAAGTGAATTAAAAATCTGAGGAACAGATTAAACTGGTGAATATAATAGAATCAGGGGCAAAGAAAGCGAGTGGATTGATAATTATCAGGGGGAAAGGGGTGGGGGGGGTGCAGGAAGAGCCTGGATTAAAATCGTACACCTATGGATGAGGACAACGTGGTGGGGGGAGATAAGGCCAGAGGGAGCTATGGGGGGGGGGGGGGGGGAGGAGAAACAATTGTAATTATCTGAGTAATAAAGATTTATTTAAAAAAAAAAGGGGGGGGTAGATTAAAAGCTTCAAATTTGACTTTTCCAAATGTTTAGTGATATTTTTGCTTGTTTGGTTTTATTTTTTACATACATTTTTCAATTATACTTGACATTCAATATTATTTTATATTAGTTTCAGTTGTATTGCATAGTGGTTAGACATTTATATAATTTATGAAGTAACCCCCCTTGATAAGTCTAGTACCTAACACCATAGGTACCACAATATTTTAACTATATTCCCTAGGCCAGCGGTTGGCAAACTTCGGCTAAAGAGCCACATGCAGCTCTTTGGCCCCTTGAGTGTGGCTCTTTCACAAAGTACCACTGCCTGGGCAACTCTATTTTGAAGAAGTGGCGTTGGAAAAAGTTTAAGTTAAAAATGTGGCTCTCCAAAGAAATTTCAGTCATTGTACTATTGATATTTGGCTCTGTTGACTAATGAGTTTGCCGACCACTGACCTAGGCTGTACTTGATATCCTCGTGGCTGTTTTGTAACTGCCAATCTCTGCTTCTAATCCCTTCACCTTTTTCACCCAGTCCCCACCCTTCCCCTCTGGGACCATCAGCTTGTTCTCTGTGCCTGTGAGTCTGTTTTGTTTGTTTATTTTGTTCTTTAGCTTCCACGTATAAGTGAAAATGTATGGCATTTGTCTTTCTCTGTCTGACTTATTTCACTTAACAAAATTAATACCTTCTAGGTCCAATAATATTGTCACAAATGTTAAGATTTCATTCTTTTTAATGGCCAAGTGGTATTTCATTGTGTATATGTATCACATCATCTTTACCTACTTGTCTGTTGATAGATACTTGGCTATTGTAAATAATACTGCAATGAACATAGAGGTGTACATATTTTTTCGAATTAGTGTTTTGGGTTTCTTCTGATATATACCCAGAAATAGAATTACTGGGTCACGTGGCAGTCCTAGATATTTTTAATTTTTTGAGGAACCTCTTCATATGCCTTTCCACGGTGGATGCACTGATTTAAGATTAGAATAGTTAATTGGCAAATTACAGAAAGACGGTATAGAAACTGCTTTTAAAGAAATACTAGGAAATCAAAGGTATCTCCCACCTAGAACTCAGATACCTTATTTGATTAAATAAATTAGATACAAAATGGATTTTTCCAATATCATCTGAATTTGAATGCAAGTTTGGGACATCATTTTGTGATGGCCTTACCTATACTTTATGTTACTTCACATAAAAAAGACCTGCAAAGCCCTCGCTGGTTTGGCTCAGCAGAAAAAGCTTCGGTCTGCAGATTGGGGAGTCCCAGGTTTGATTCCAGTCACGAGCACAATACCCAGGTTATGGGTATTCCCCACAGGGCTCGATCCCCAGTGGGGAAAATGCAGGAGGCAGCCAATCAATGATTCTCTCTCATCATTAATGTCTATATCTCTCTCGCTCCCTTTTTCTTCCTTTCTGAAATCAATATCTGTGTGTGTGAGTGTGTATAAGTTTTTTATTTATTTATTTATTTTAAAAAAGACCCTGCAAAACAGCTGCTTGATATATGCCAAAGTATAAGTTCATTATCCCCAAGAGAACTAACACTTAGCCACATGCTCACAGTTTATTGTCTTGTTAAGGATACAACTGCTGCATCTGAGTTTACTGTTACTTAAGTGATGAAAGAAACCACAGTTATCTAATTTTTAGTACCCCCCCCCCCATGTGAAATGTGAGACCATTCTCAATGCGCCAGGTCAGTGGTGCTTAAACACCAGGAACAGTTCAGGCGCCATTTAGCATTTGAAGTTTTAGAGACGTCCAGCAGATCTGTAGGTGACATTCAGTCCCTTTGGTCACTTAGATTCAAAATGCTGACTTCCAAATTGAGTGTGAAAGCATATATTTGATGAAAACCTATTCTAGGGAAAAAGTACTCCTTTCCGTAGATCCTGTGACTGACTTTCACAGACTCCTCCCGCCTTGCCTTCCCTCCAGTCTTCTCTCTGTTTCAGGCCCTGGGTGCTCACGCTGCTAGGGCAGCTTCCTCTCCCAGTGCCCTCCCTCCTCCCTCCTCCTGGGATGGTGCGCCTTCATCCCGCCTCCCTGCCTCCTTGCTCAG